CTCGGCCTCCGCTCCTTCGTGGCTTTCGCCGCTAAACTCTGGAGCTTCGTGCTTTACCTGCTCAGGAGGCAGGTCCGAACCGTGAGTACCGGGAAAAAAAACGGGAAATAACGGGAATTAACGGGAATTAACGGGAATTAACGGGAAATGGACCGGGAATTAATCAGGGAATGAACGGGGAATTGTCCTTTACCTGCTCAGGAGGCAGGTCCGAACCGTGAGTACCGGGAAAAACGGGAATTAACGGGAATTAATCAGGGAATGAACGGGAAATAACGGAGATTAACGGGAAATGAACCGGGAATTAACGGGAATTAATCAGGGGATTAACGGGAATTAATCAGGGAATTAACGGGAAATGAACCGGGAATTAACGGGGGAGAAAGTGGGAATGAACCGGGAATAAATCGGGAATTAACGGGGGAGAAAGTGGGAATGAACCAGGAATAAACTGGGAATTAACGGGAAATGAACGGGGAATTAAAGGGAATAAATCGGGAAATGAACCGAGAATTAACGGGGGAGAAAGTGGGAATGAACCGGGAATAAATCGGGAATTAACGAGAGATGAACCGGGAATGAACCGAGAATTAATCAGGGAATTAACGGGGGAGAAACACCGGGAATTAACGGGGGAGAGAAACCGGGAGAAAGAGGGAATTAACGGGAAATTAACGGGGAATTTAATGGCCAATTAACGGGGAATTTAATGGCCAATTAACGGGCAATTAACGGGAAGGGAAACTGGGAATTAATGGGGAGGGAAACGGGCAATTAACGGGGAAATTAATGGGGAACTAATGGGCAATTAATGGGAATTAATGGACAATTAACGGGGGAGGGAAACTTGGAATTAATGGGGAATTAACAAGGAAATTAACGGGGAGTTAGCGGGAAATTATTGGGGAATTAACGGGAAATTAATGAGCAATTAACGGGGAAATTAATGGGCAATTAACGAGGAATTAATGGGCAATTAATGGGGAGTTAATGGGGAAATTAACGGGGAGAAACCGGGACTAAATCGGGAATCATTTTCTGACCCCAATTTTAGAGGATTTGGAGATTTTTGGCAGAATTTTGGGGTTTCTGACCCCATTTTTTTCATGAGTTTTAATTTTTTTCTCCCCAAAACGGCCCCGGGGGGGGTTCAGGAACCTCGGGAAATTTGGGGATTTTTTTAGGGGCG